TAAGGAGGAAGCCAAGGAAACTGTAAGGACAGATGTCAGGATTCATTTGTTTAAAATCTCTAACTGGTAAATACCTTTAGTTTCTTCTCAGAATTGCCTCTACACAATGCCATTTCTAAAAGGGAATCTCAGAAGTTCTCAGAGAGCAAGGACAGCAGAACTACAAAATGAACAACAGCTCCTGATCCTAAGCTCTGGATGCTGATTGTTTGCACAGAGGGAGAGATGCCAGTCCTAGTAATGCAGACAACCAACAGAGCGAGCAGCCCTCTAACAGAGCAAATTTCAGCATTTTAGTTCACTTTGCACAGCAAGCAACACTCCAAAGGAAGATTATTTAATCCTCAGCACCAACAGAGTCAAGACAGAAGAACAGAGGTTTTTAAATGCTGCTTATGCCAGGCACAAAAACCACACACAGAACATCTGCTGCATTTAGCTCCTCACACCCAGCAAAATGCAATTTGACTTAGATGAACCCAGTGAGTTCAGTGTGACTGCATTTACCATCCACGAAAAGAAAAAAAAAACAGAATGTGGTTCTGCAGAGGGAACTGGATAGCACCCAGGTCCCAACACATGCAAAGCCACATAGGTGAGTATTAGAGGTGAAGCACGGGATGATTGGCATGAAATCCTCAGTGCTAACTTGGCATGCCTGATTTAAGCCTTCACAGACACCCAGGCAGAGCGCAGGATCAAAGATGCTGGAGTTCACCAGTGGACATGGAGCATTTTGGAGCATTCTGCAGCTTCTACCTCATTCTGGGCACACCAGTGTTTTGCAATCCCCTCCCGACCACTAGGGCTGGATCAGTGGTACAAGATTCAGTCACTTGGGAACCTCAGGGATCTAAGGACTAGAAATTTGGAAAGCCATTTCACAGCCTGTGCCAACCAGGCAACCTTCTCAGATCAGCTAACAAAGTAACATTCCTGATTTATTTTCGATATACAGATATATACCCCCCCACACACACATACTGCCTAATTATATTCACATAAAGACCCCAGATAATAAAAGGGGAAAACTGAATACTATCAAGGAACTATGAAGGTGGACTACACAGGACCCAAGCTCACCAAACCTTCAGAGGGACCTGAAGGACAGCTGGGCCACCCTCCCTTCGACACACTCGAACCCTTTATGTCTGAAAGCACATGAAAGGTCAGATGGGAAGAAACATCTCGAGATCACACTGAAACGTTGCATCTTAGGCTCCTTCATCCCATTAGCATGGATGTGCAGAGTGCACCAAAAAATAATCTTGCATCATCAGAAAGTCCTGTGCTTAACCACTTAACCAGTCCCTAACTGTGGCATGCTTTAAGGTTGTGCTTTCCAATAACAGAAATATACCTGCTCTTATCAGAAATCTCATTAAATAGTAAACAATTACTATTGATTCTACTAATACTGTCTGGAAACCAAATAATAGCAGCCACCTTGTTTCTAACTTTCTTTTTGTTATTACATTTTCTAACCATAAAATAAGTCACTTTTTAACACATCAAGACTGCATTTAAATTAAAAAAAAAAAACAAACACTATAGAAAGCTAAAGAAAGGGGATTATCACCATAACTTCTATTTTCCTTCTCAGTGCCAGTTAAAATCTATGGATATTTGTACTCTGTCTTTGTAACCTGCATGAGCAGTGCTGGGCATGCCTACAATTCTGCATAGGAACAACATAAATAATCAGAGATCCCTCTGGTCCCAGGTGTGCAGTAAGATCCAGTGCTACAGGAAGTGCATTCAGACAGTTCACCATTATAAGCATTTTTAATTATCTTTAAATCAACAATTACTCCTGTAAGGTCCTCCAAACAATTTTTTAATAAAAAACTAATTTACTACTCACAAATTAATTAGTATGAGATAAAATTAGTTTTATCTTTTTAAATGAGATTTTGCAACCAAGGTCAAGGACCGTAAACATCTACTTCAAGCTCTAAAAGCCACTGCTTTTGGATTATGAAGTATTCTCAATCTTTTTTTTGCCTCAGGGAAATGAAGAATTGCTTCCATTGTGTGATGGAAGAAGAGACTGAAGGGAAATGTGGCATTCCAGACTTCAGTGGGTAATCAAACGAAAATCACTCAAAGATGACGTTTTTGACAGGAGTTTGTTCAATTAAAGGCAGACAAGTTTTCACACAAACCTAACCGTGGCAATAACTTTTCCGAACCTACAGTACTGTTCGGAAACATGCGTACCAGTGCTAGGAAACGGCTTGACGGTTTATATTCCTCAGCAACCTACAAGCCAAACGGAGGCCTCTAACACTTTCGGACCAAGGCAGACAGTCATACCACTCCAATAGTGCCACCTACTGCGTATTTTAAAAGCATCCAGTGGTCTGCAGATCCAAGTAACTCAACCTAAAGAGGACTAAACGATTGACTGATTTAAACAGAAGTCATAATTTTGTCTGTATGTACAACAATATGAAAATGTAATGGGTTTTTTTATTAGTAATACCGAAGCAGGCTAAAGGTGCAAAGGAAGTTATTCCCCTGCGGTGTAAGAACAGAACCCACAGGTTATCCATTTCCAAGTTTCTGTCAGTGGCATAACAAGGATTAGTTACTTCAGCTCGCTACACATCAAAACCACAATTAACCCTATGTACCTTGTGATATCATGTAGATTAGACCTGCAACTCCTTGTATGAATCATATCCTAGTTGCAAATTACTCACAAAACACACACAGCTATGCATGTGTGTATTACATACACTCGCAGATGCACCTTGAGAGCAAAGCACATGCACACAAACACATACACAGGCACCTCTTGAGCCTGAATCAAGACGCCCTGTTCACAGGCTTTCTCCGAAAAGGAAACAAACTGGAATGTATATCAGATTGACTCAGTAAAACAAAAACTAATCCTGTGCCTGGTTCCAGCGATCTGCTGCAACACCTGGACTCATTCACCTCATTTCACTGGGCATCTGGTTTCTTTTCCCAGTTTCTGGTTTTGCTGCTTACCCATACAACTGTTCGGAAGAGACTGCCTTGTGTAATCCACTTGCGTAACTCAGTGTGACGGCTTTTCCATGATCCTGAAGGAATGGTACAGCACAAATAATTAAGAATAATAATAACAAATTCTGGTCAGATACAAAATCATTATACTTTAATGGTCTACTAATGAGAAGTTAAGTGTACATCTTTTAGGACACAGCCTACCTTTCATGTTGAAGGATGCTATCCTGGTAATTCTTTCTGCAACACATGGTCAGGTTGCACAAGTCACTTTCGCAGGAGGTCAATGAGTCAAACACTGTGACTGGAATTTTAAAAAGGTTGGGTAACTTTTATGACCATTAATAATGTTTGTATTGAATGCCAGCTCAAACAGTAATCGGGTTAATTAAATCCCCTGCCCCAATGTATAAACCAACTGCCTGAAGGTCCAAAGGAGGACTCCATGTGCCAACAATTCAGAAGATTGAACAAACAAGGCAGTGAGGTCCTCCTTTCCACAACACAGTAGGTGTTTGTAGCTACTGAAAGCTGGATATCAAAGTAGATCTACCAAAGCCACAATACATCAGAAAAACTCTAACATGACACCTGCTTTTTCCAGGGTCAAGAGAGAAGCTAACCTGAAGAGTATCTACAGCGTCTGACAAAGTATTGTGTTTACTGTTCTTGCCCTGACTTCGGCAGAAGACGACTGCAGTTGAGGCAGGCAACATGTTTTGCAAGACACCAGCATCCTGGGAAGGCAAAAGCGATTATTAAGTGAGTTACAGCAGATTTGCACATGTGAGCAGGCTGAGCCCTACCAGAACTCTGCACTGTGTAACTAGAGTCGTCACCTGCGTACGCGCAACTTCCAAAGGGATTCCCAAGACCTGCAGGATTTGGGCCTGATTCAGTAAATCATTTATGATGCAAATCATTACATAATTTCTGCCAGCAATTGCAAAAATACAGCACACCAGCATTCCTTCCACACACCGCCCTTTCACAATGATTTTTATGCAATGTTTTTCACTGCAAGAAACGTAGCAGATGCATAATTACATTAAACCTACTGTTTAACTGCATTATTTGTTCACATACTCCTCTCTTGGGCCCTTGCAACAGTATCAAATGGACCTATTTCAGGGACAGAAACTTGCAGATCATAGTCCAGGCATAGTCTTGTACTTCATTTGATATGATAAAAAGCCATTTATTTTTAAAATTTTTGCCTCATTTTTAGATAATACTATAAGATGCATGGCAAGCCTCATTTGAAAACTTACCATTTGAAGAGTTTGTTCAGCTCTCACTAAGGAAAATATTACTTCTATGGTTTATTTCATTCCACAGAAAGGCAGAAAAACTGAACGAGTCAGAGCAAGGCATTTGTACCTCCGGCCTCCCAATTCCAAGTATCTTTCTCACATGCTGTTTTGACTCTGCACCCAGGCCCAAATACTTCAAACACATTCTTAAAAGGCAGCAATAAGCACAAAATTATTAAGGTTTTCAATCCTCCCCTCTCGCCCCACTGCCCCAAGAAGCAGCAGCAAGAATGGAACTGGAAGGGACGTTAAGGAAGGGAGAGTGGAGTGGAAAAGATGCAAAATACACGGAAAGAAGCCTGGAGAAAGATTTCTCTGGTGGAACTACTGTCTTGGGGAAGTCACCATGACAGCATCCCTTTAAGAATTCACATTACTACATAAACCAGTATTACCCAGCCCCATGTGCACCTGACTGTGTTCAATGAGGTTTTGTATTTCACTGTTTTTTTTGGCAAAGCTTCATATGCTCACAACCTTAAGTCAACAGTAAATCCAACTATCCAGTTATAATCATGAACTCTGTATGCAGTAGCTCCAGGCGCAGCTCATGAACACAAGCTGACTGAAATCCACAGCCTCAGAGCAGACCACGCAACTTCGGAAAGAAGTCACCACACTTAGAAGAAAGTTACTTCTTCATTTAGGAAGATTTCAGATGCTTCACCCTTGTTCTGCTTTTTTGCCAGCACAATGAGGGAAATGTCCTGCTTCTGCACGACTTTTTCTTCCTTGTTGGAACAGATGGTGAAGGCTTACAAATACATGACTGGTATTTTTTCAGTGACTCATACCTCAGAGCAACAGGCTTCAGACTGTGATAAGCAGCCAACCAGGATGGATGTAAGCTTGCTAGAGGAGCAGTATGACCATATAAAACAGAAGCAAAAACTGCAATCATACATTATTGTATTTAAAACAGGTATGCTTATACTTCTAGGAAAAAATGCAAATGTGGATGTAAATACTATTGCTTTAAATCTTGTTCTAGCTTTGTTCTTTTTAAGCTCAGGTTCAAGAGAGGTATAAAGTGAATTCCTTTTCCGTCATTTTGATTTTTTATTAATTTCACTGAAAGGTGATCTTACGTTTATATCAACTAGCTTCACAGCAGTGAAACACTAACCTGAATTTGAAACAGATGAACGTCCTTGAGGTAAGGTTTTACAGGGTTTATGTCAGTAAAGTAAAATTCTAAAGATATATGGTAACTCTTACAGGAGCCACATACTTCATGTCTATCATCAGTGTATTTGTGAAATGTATTCTGTAACATTTCTGCTTTCTTGAATGCTTCCATTAGAACAAGCAATTCTGGAGCTTCTGTCTCTTTTCCTTTCTTTTTTATCTGTGTGAAGAAATGTGTCCTATGAGACTACAGGAAGCAATAGCAAGTACCAAGTGACTAGCACAAGTTGGGCTTTTGTTAAAAAATAACTTCTACTAAGAGTCATAGTGGGTAACTAAGATACAAGCTTTGAACGAGAGGTCCTGTTTTGAAGGTGTTTTCACTGCATATTGCTTGGAAAGTACATAAATAGAAAAAACAAGTAACAATATGTATCGCTCACCTACCTGCTGTGTCAGACAGATTTTGTGTAAGAAGCTTTCAAATATTTTAAAGTTTTTAGTTAGACTACTGCTTACAATATTGCACAGATACATTTGCGTTTATTATCCAAGTTAAAGTGATGTTGAGAATACTTAGTCAATTAAAGAAGTTGTCTTCTGAATTTAATTGCAATATGAAAAACATGCTCCATTCAGGTCTCATATTAGTGTTTAGCTCAACAAATGCAGAACTTGGGTTATTTAATTCCTTAAATTTTCCTCTACATTTCTCAGCAGTTCTAGATTTGTGCTTTGTCAGACTATATCATCAAAACAATTGAAAAGTCACATAATTATGCACCATATAACAGATTCACTTCTTCAATATTCTTTCATGCAAATGTCTAGAAATTCTTATGTTAAAAGAATTTACATCTCTGTGAGGAAGACATATATACATACAAGTTTGTTTTATCAGGTATGAAAAAGCAACTAACTCGCATTAAAAACAGCCCATCTAACCAGCTATAGCAAAAATGTAAGTCAGGTAAAGAAAGGAAGCAGGAGTCTGTATTCAGATTAAATTCAAACAAAGCTTCAGATATAATGAATGTAATCAGAACCCATTTTTTTGCAAGGACACCATTTGAAGATTAAAGACAAGACATACGAAAGTAGGACTGCACAGTTTCTGGGAAGTTAAAAATTTAGTAGGGCTGGAAGTTCACATCCAAATATTTTTATATACATACACATAACCCAAAACATTCAAAAACCACACAGCCTACTGCACTGAACTTTTCTCTTAAATAACCTGTGTGGAAAGGATTAATGTTACTGTTAGTAGCAGCTGAAGTTTGGCATTTTTTGTTATGCTAAGTTCAATGTCCTGAAATTTGATCTTACACATTCCTACGATTTGGAAGCTGGGAAAACCTGTCACATAGCTCAGCTCTTTGAACCTGTTATATGGATCAGTTTCCAAGAATATGTCAAGCAGAAATGAACACTGCTGTTACAGCACACCTCACTGCCCTAAACTCCTTAAGTTACAAGCTTAAACTATCCAGAAATTCCAGCTAGTAGCAAAAGGCAGTCCACGTCTGTATCAGTATTTTGTACTGGCAGCAGACTGTTTCCCTACCTAGAGGGTAAGATTATGGCTGGGCTGGGAAGGGGACGACAATGACAGCTCCACCACTACCCCCCCCCAAACCTCAGGGGCCAGACACAAAAACCTCATGAGATTCAAACATCATGGAAGGAGGGCACCTTCGGTCCCTCAGTCTTAAAAATCCCTGCCAAAGGTCTTTATTCTAGCTAGTAACACCCTAAACTGTTTCTGCCAGACAGACCAGCTGCCTTTCCATGATACCACAGGGATTTTGAGGGTTCCAGGTTTATTGCACCACAGCCTGAATGATACCCTAAGTTTCCTTGAGGACTTTCAGCTTTGTATGTCACTATCTGTTTCCCAGAGTCATGAAATTGCAGACCTTTAAACAGAACTTAAGATTCTCTAACTTGGTTTTTGACTGGTGGGTTAGTAACTGAGAAGTCACCTGAAAACAAATTTCTTCTGTTCCTGCCCCAATACATACAGCCATGTTCATGCTTCTGCCTGTTTCTGATTATTTGAGAACAAAGAGCATGACAAGTTTTGAAAGTCACCAGCTAAGGGATAACACAGCAGTGTATTCATTATTTATTGGCTAAGAAGCTGAAAAAAACAGTATTTACTTTAGGGATTAAATGCGAGCATTCAACGCATGCAGTCACAACAGAATAACAGTGCAGCTCTGACTGCAGAAATCTCTTCCAAGAATTTCGCAAGCTCACTTGAAATCACATTAACTTTTGTCACCCCAGAACCTTAAAAATATCTATGATGACAGTGTATGGAAAAGGCCCAATGGCAAACAACCCTGCAACAAGGCTATTATGCACAATTTAAAAAAAAAAAACAAAAAAGAGAAACAGACCAAAGATCCGTCTAATTACAGCTTTGTTTAGAAGTGTAGAGAGTGCTGAATGTGTGTTAATTCAGCATGGAGTGGTTCAGGACTCTGACTTTTCTATCAGAGGTCATTGCTCAATTTTGTGTGCCACACCTCTAGCCAAGGAATCACATCAAACCTGAACTCAGAACCAGTCCAGACTATTTAAAGTGGACTAGATGCCTTACTTTGAACTCTCTAATCAACTCCAGCCAGATCGTAATTCTTCTGATCACCAGTTCATCAGGTTCAAGATAAAACCTGATGTTGCCTATCAATGCCAGTTCAGCCGACAGTACAATTACATCCACAAGAACGTGCAAAGCTGCATCACCTCACAGTCTCTCCGTTCCTTTTCTCTTGCTTTTCCTCTCACCTATGCGTAAGAAGCCCTATTTGTTGTAGCTTGGCGCTATACCGTGCTGTTCTGCAGGACACAGAGGGATCTATTTTGCAAGCGGACTTATTTGCATCCACCCAAGCTCAGCTTCATTTCCTGGATGAAGTCCAGTCATAGCTTCGATTCTCGCTGTTCCACGAGAAGAGAACTGTGTGGTTGTATCGCTATCAATGTTTCACCCTAGCAAATTCTGTTAGCGTACTTCACTGTACAGACACACGCACAAACGCATCGGTATCTCTAAGCACCGCATGTGCTCTAGACTCCTTTCTCCCTGTAACACTGCAGGAGAGCGGAAGATGTGAGCTGTCACAGTTCTCACTCCCACAGCCACGCTGCAAAGCGGCTCTGATCAGATCAACCCTACATGGCCAACCCAGGGAGCAGAAAAAATTCTGTGATATTATGCTGGTGATGTTGCTTCAGCAGCGGGAGCCAAAGGCAGCAGCGCAAGCCCCTCCGTAGCCAAAGCCCCGTTGTGCAGCTTCATTTACAGCCAGTAAGTCAGCTGGGTCTGACATCTTCAAATATTTCCTTGTGAAGCTGCTATGAAAGACAGTTACAAAGGGGGGCGTTATGCTCTTGGTGTTTTTAAAGGCAGCATCCTATTCAAACTAGCTTCATTTCAAATCCAGGGTTACAATTCTTTTAAAAAGGCTATTCAGGTACTCTGTTTCAGAATATAATCAGCACTCTTCTATGTCTACTTTTTTCACTTTAATATGCTTCACAACTCATACTACAACAGATACAGTTCCTGTAATTGAATCCTGTAAATAAGGTCAGCATTTTGCACATCTCCTGCTTTAAACTATGTTTATACTGAGGTATATTTTATTGGTACTTACCATGTCAACAGCACTGTTTATCTTTAGTGTAAGGGTTCAGTTTCTATTCATTTTCAAGGCACAGAAAGCCAGCCACATTTGATGGCTGCTACGTGTAATTAAAGTAGCATTAGCATCTCTATCCCTAATATCTTACACATTTCTAACAGTAACCTTCACACCAACCAGGTTCTCTCCCATGGTGATAGCTGCTCTATACATATACTACTCATGAAGCAAGCAGATTTTTCCTCCAAGTGATCATTCAGGCAACACTAGTGTGATAAGCTATTAACTTTACACCATTTATACTGACCACAATAGTAAAATTGCAGTAAATACTAAAATACAAGCCTATACATTAATAATCCCTCATTAAGAAAAAGAAGAAAGAAATTCACAACTTGTTTCATCTAGAAGTGGTCACAGTATTTTTAAGCTGTGAATACAAACTTCAAACAGTATCAAACAGAATATTTTTGTCTTTTAAGCTATGGAACCTACAAAAACACCTGCTCACTTTAAGAATTTTTGCTTACAAGTAATTAATTACTGAAAGTCAATTCTCAATCTGTGTTGTTAATGAGTCTCAGAGTACTGGTTAAATCGATATTGACTTGATAAATCTCCACTTCCATCTGACTAACCCTAAGGTACCACTTCTGTCCTCAGAACTGCAAAAGCGAGCATGAAATGTTTCTACTCCATAACCTGGCATCAAAGGAACTTGCACTAGTCTCAGCCACAGACAGAAAGAGTCCAGATAAAGTCATCTGTTAAAGCTCTTCAGCTGAGCTTGTGCCACAGAAATTACACCCTTAATTTTTGCCACCATAGTAACGTCCATATACACATTTCTCTTGTAGGTGAGCATGAATCTGTTCTCCCTGAATCAACGGTGAATGCTGTTTTAATTAATAAAAAAGTTAGAAGATCAAAGTCATTTACAGAATGTGTTCCTGTCAGAAACGTCAGGCTGGAGATGCCCAGCAGTGGCAATGTAGAAGACAGCTCACCATGGCGTACCCACCTGGGAATTCACCGCCAGGTGCAAGCCCCTTCTCAAGGAGCTCCCTGGGACCTTTCCCACTGCAAGAACAGACCATGCAGTTTTGACAATCAGAGATTGATTTCAAAGGGAAACAGCACACTGCAACCCAAGGAATTAGAAGGAGCAAGTGAACTATCCGGGCTCAGTCAACTGGGAAGATCCAGCATGCTGAACAGTTTCAGCAAAGAGAATGGCAGCAACATTTCGAGCACCTGCCAACAGCCAGCTCTGAAATCAGCCACTTCAGCAGTTTGGACACATCAACATATCTCTTCTACGAAATGCATGCCAGCCTGCAACAAACTAAACTTTTACCCTTTCCCTAATAAAAAAGGGCCCAGAATTTCTGAAGCAGCAAGGAAGCTTGGATTATATGTCTCACAATGAAAACATTCACTAATACATAAAACTTAGTTAAAAACTTGGCTAAAACTTAAAATACCAAAATAGTCATCTTAGTTACACTGACCAACCTGCTGAGGGTCTAATACTTCTATTAGCCAAGGAAGATCCTTACTGTATCATGTCTTGTTTTACAGTACAGTGAGATGTTCATGAGAAGTTCATGAGGTGTTCTCATGAAGACGCTGGGCTGCAATGACAGATACTCACTTCTGTTATTTGAGATAAGAGCAACTTTGTCTTTTTTTTTTCCTATTTTTACATTACTGATTTTAGAAACTGAGATTTTAGCACAGCAATATTTGAAATATCTGAAAGTCCTATAGCAAAGTCTAGTAAAATTACTGATGAAGCATTTAGGCTAAATTTCAGTACAGTACGATTTAATTAGACAATAAACAAGTAACAAATGAAACAGTATTGAAGGTGATTGGCACACTGAATGTATGACTTCATTTTCTTCCAAAAAAGACATTCAAGATACTTCTGATCTGTGTATTTTTAAAATCAGTGAATAAAACCTCTGCTCATTTCTACTGTTGTTTTAACTGGACTTAGTATGTATCACCTTTTTTCTTACAAATATATTCAACAATAACACATTGTTTGTTCCTCCCATCTACCCCCAGCATTTCATTAGAAATGTCACAGTCACAGGCTCTGGTTCTCATGGGGGACTTCAACCACCCTGACATCAGCTGGGAAGACCATACAGCTAGGCAGGCGCAATCCAGGAGGTTCCTACAGAGCATCGATGATAACTTTCTGATGCAAGTGGTGGAGGAACCAACAAGGAAAGGCGCGCTGCTGGACCTTGTGTTAACAAACAAGGAGGGACTGGTGGAGGACGTGAAGGTTGGAGGTAGACTCGGCTGCAGTGACCATGAAATGGTCGAGTTCAGGATCCTGCGTGGAGGAAGCAGGGCGATAAGCAGGATCAAAACCCTGGACCTCAGGAGGGCTGACTTTGCCCTCTTCAAGGAGCTACTGGGAGGAATCCCATGGGCCAGGGCTCTCGAAGGCAGTGGGGTCCATGAGTGCTGGTCGCTGTTTAAACAACACTTCTTCCATGCACAGGAGCAATGCATCCCCCTGAGAAAGAAATTTAGCAAAGGAGGCAGGACACCTGCATGGTTAAACAAGGAGCTTCTAGCGGAGATCAGGCAGAAGAGAAAGGTCCATGGAATGTGGAAAGAGGGGCAGGCCACTTGGGAAGAGTACAGGAAT